TTAATCTGTAAACATTAAAGGCACAATATGTAAGATTTTTTTAATTGAAATATACAAAAACCACTAGAACAGTGTTATATATTTTGCTGACTTGTGTACTTACATTATCCCAAATGTTTCGAAGAATGTTTAAATCCAGAGAAATAAGCAATTTTAACTAGTGACACGGACCGTGTCCATAGTGTCATTGTGTCGCCTGCCAATGATTAGACAGGTGACGACCGCACAGAGTAGCATTATAACAGAACTTTCAAACGTATCTAGTATGATAAAACAGCGCTGCTTTTTTTCCCCCACATACGCACGACCGGAAGGAGCGGAAGCGCTAAAGTGTGGCATAATAAAAGCTCCGCTGCTTTCGAGCCATGTGTCACTCTCGTCTCTCATTAGCAATTGCTTCAGCGGCCTCGTTTTGCTTTGACGGCTTTCCACCGCACTCTGCTTTATACTACGATGTTAATAAATCTTTAATACATTAGCTCATCCATGAACATGATTTCTGACTGAGTCCCGTCGGATTGCGTCGGCTGGGATGAAGACGACAACTCCCATGATTCCACACTCAGTCATGGCGTCATCAAACTACGCCTTTGTTTCTTTGTTTGTTTTGAATATGGCCCTCTGACTCAAACCAAAGATCAAACCAAGTGTAAAATGTTCCTAAACATCCTCAAAACCTTTAGACACAAATCAAATACACGGACATCGAAATAGAGGATCCTCTCTGATTTGATAGCCTCTACAACAGACCTCATCTATACAAAACAAATGAATATGTCCGTATCTGGTATTGTTCTGAATAATTTATTTAATGTTTGCGAGTAATTAATAATTATCATCATTAGTCATATAGCAAAACAACAAACTTATCTTGTGATCCTTTGTAGAAAGCATTGTCTGTAAATTTATGATTAATTTGTTAAATTTATTATTCATACAGTATACTGAAGTCGGTTACATACTGCCATCTAAAGAATTATTCAGCAACATTTTAGTAGGTTTTTGAAGCACTGACTTTGCATCAAATGTTCTTGTAATACTAAAAAATGTGGTTTTAGTGGTTTTATGCAGAATACCCAATCCCACAATATTAAAAAAAAATATATATATATGTTAAATGGTAGTTTTGGTAGTTTTACATTTTAATAACATAGCAAAATGTGCAATATTTAAAGTTTTTTTGCTTGTTTAGGTAACTTGTTTTCTTGTTTAATGATGAGTGTGAGCTAAAATTAAAGCCCTCTGCTCTAGAACAGAGCTATTCTGAGACAGACACTCAGTCAGACAGCCAATCATGAGCCTAAGTATCTATAGACTCAGAGTGGACAGCGAAACATGCTACACTATTTGTCAGAAAGCCTATTTTAGGAACTAGGAACTAAAGTTCATTTCATGTTTCCTAGAGGGACGATTATTAGTGTTACCTGCCAGTGAAGACCGCTGTCTGTCTTTGTTTATGCTGCTGCTATGTTTTCTGTAATGTGTTCATATAATACAAACCATATCTCATTTCATACCAGAGGCATATGCAGATGCATATATTGGAGCAAATAAATGTCTCAATCTAAAGACTTCTCCTGCTCTCCTGATTCTCTGACCGGAATCTGGTCCATATTTGGCCGCCTCAACCAGTTGTAATTTAAATGTAGTAAGGTTTGCTACATTAATTTGGTCCTTCGAGCCGGATTGAGAGCAACATCAAACCAGTATGGACCCAGCAGAAAGTGACACAGAGACAATGGACAGACCTTGCCGCAGGACAAATCTGCCGCCTCACCTGGATGATTATGAGGTTGGCTACCGACCATAGAAGACCATCCTCCTAAAGCTTCTACTTCCTGTCCCAGTCAACGTAGAAGCAGCTCGAGGAAAACGTCTTGCAGCGGTACCAGCTCTCACTCCAGGACCAGTAGGCGTTCCATTACCTCCACTGGCGTTTATCTTCCACCAGAACTCTCTAATGTCCAGACTGCTGTTTTGGAGGAGAAGATTAAGCAGAGACAGTTTGACAGTCTCCGGCAGCAGGTACAGGAGGACTCACTCGCTGACATGGAATATCAGCGGCTGCAGACACAAGCGAAAGAAGCTCAGCGCATTCAGGAGGAGGCTCTCGCAGCTAAGGAGGCTTTGTCCAAGCATCTAGAGAGACAGCGCAAGCTGCAACAAGCAGAGACTGAACTCGAGGTAGCAAAGCTTGTATCTTCCATGCTTACTGAAGACTCTGGTTCAGCCACTCCTGTGCCTTCAGGCTCACCAGCCAGCCCTTTGGCTTCACCTCAACCTAATCAGAGTAGTCCAGCCATCTTTGTTTGTTTTGAATATGGCCCTCTGACTCAAACCAAAGATCAAACCAAGTGTAAAATGTTCCTAAACATCCTCAAAACCTTTAGACACAAATCAAATACACGGACATCGAAATAGAGGATCCTCTCTGATTTGATAGCCTCTACAACAGACCTCATCTATACAAAACAAATGAATATGTCCGTATCTGGTATTGTTCTGAATAATTTATTTAATGTTTGCGAGTAATTAATAATTATCATCATTAGTCATATAGCAAAACAACAAACTTATCTTGTGATCCTTTGTAGAAAGCATTGTCTGTAAATTTATGATTAATTTGTTAAATTTATTATTCATACAGTATACTGAAGTCGGTTACATACTGCCATCTAAAGAATTATTCAGCAACATTTTAGTAGGTTTTTGAAGCACTGACTTTGCATCAAATGTTCTTGTAATACTAAAAAATGTGGTTTTATATTGACAATGCAGAATACCCAATCCCACAATATTAAAAAAAAATATATATATATGTTAAATGGTAGTTTTATATTTTGGACATTTTAATAACATAGCAAAATGTGCAATATTTAAAGTTTTTTTGCTTGTTTAGGTAACTTGTTTTCTTGTTTAATGATGAGTGTGAGCTAAAATTAAAGCCCTCTGCTCTAGAACAGAGCTATTCTGAGACAGACACTCAGTCAGACAGCCAATCATGAGCCTAAGTATCTATAGACTCAGAGTGGACAGCGAAACATGCTACACTATTTGTCAGAAAGCCTATTTTAGGAACTAGGAACTAAAGTTCATTTCATGTTTCCTAGAGGGACGATTATTAGTGTTACCTGCCAGTGAAGACCGCTGTCTGTCTTTGTTTATGCTGCTGCTATGTTTTCTGTAATGTGTTCATATAATACAAACCATATCTCATTTCATACCAGAGGCATATGCAGATGCATATATTGGAGCAAATAAATGTCTCAATCTAAAGACTTCTCCTGCTCTCCTGATTCTCTGACCGGAATCTGGTCCATATTTGGCCGCCTCAACCAGTTGTAATTTAAATGTAGTAAGGTTTGCTACATTAATTTGGTCCTTCGAGCCGGATTGAGAGCAACATCAAACCAGTATGGACCCAGCAGAAAGTGACACAGAGACAATGGACAGACCTTGCCGCAGGACAAATCTGCCGCCTCACCTGGATGATTATGAGGTTGGCTACCGACCATAGAAGACCATCCTCCTAAAGCTTCTACTTCCTGTCCCAGTCAACGTAGAAGCAGCTCGAGGAAAACGTCTTGCAGCGGTACCAGCTCTCACTCCAGGACCAGTAGGCGTTCCATTACCTCCACTGGCGTTTATCTTCCACCAGAACTCTCTAATGTCCAGACTGCTGTTTTGGAGGAGAAGATTAAGCAGAGACAGTTTGACAGTCTCCGGCAGCAGGTACAGGAGGACTCACTCGCTGACATGGAATATCAGCGGCTGCAGACACAAGCGAAAGAAGCTCAGCGCATTCAGGAGGAGGCTCTCGCAGCTAAGGAGGCTTTGTCCAAGCATCTAGAGAGACAGCGCAAGCTGCAACAAGCAGAGACTGAACTCGAGGTAGCAAAGCTTGTATCTTCCATGCTTACTGAAGACTCTGGTTCAGCCACTCCTGTACCTTTAGGCTCACCAGCCAGCCTTTTGGCTTCACCTCAACCTAAGCAGAGTAGTCCAGCCATGAGTCCACAGTCTCCGTCGTTGTCTCAGCAGCCCTTTACTGTATGGACCCAGCAGAAAGTGACACAGAGACAATGGACAGACCTTGCCGCAGGACAAATCTGCCGCCTCACCTGGATGATTATGAGGTTGGCTACCGACCATAGAAGACCATCCTCCTAAAGCTTCTACTTCCTGTCCCAGTCAACGTAGAAGCAGCTCGAGGAAAACGTCTCGCAGCGGTACCAGCTCTCATTCCAGGACCAGTAGGTTCCATTACCTCCACTGGCGTTTATCTTCCACTAGAACTCTCTAATGTCCAGACTGCTGTTTTGGAGGAGAAGATTAAGCAGAGACAGTTTGACAGTCTCCGGCAGCAGGTACAGGAGGACTCACTTGCTGACATGGAATATCAGCGGCTGCAGACACAAGCAAAAGAAGCTCAGCACATTCAGGAGGAGGCTTTCGCAGCTAAGGAGGCTTTGTCCAAGCATCTAGAGAGACAGCGCAAGCTGCAACAAGCAGAGACTGAACTCGAGGTAGCAAAGCTTGTATCTTCCATGCTTACTGAAGACTCTGGTTCAGCCACTCCTGTGCCTTCAGGCTCACCAGCCAGCCCTTTGGCTTCACCTCAACCTAATCAGAGTAGTCCAGCCATGAGTCCACAGTCTCCGTCGTTGTCTCAGCAGCCCTTTACTCAGTCACCAGCAGTGACATCATCCGTACAGCCATCCTCAGCTGATCGGATAAAGCTGGATGACGCGTCACAGCTGTCACTTAGACCACTTGCACTGAGATTACCTACCACTGAATCCATGAGTGTTTCTTTTCCTCTAGCGCTCCACTTGCCACAAGCAGTTTCATCACCAGTCTCTACAGTATCTCAGACTACCCCTATAACTGCGCCATTACGCTGGGGAAATCAGCAGTGCATCCACATTATGACAGTTCCAACACGTGATGATGACCTGATCTATCATGTGGAATCTCCCATAAAATACCAAGATGGTTACCAGGTCCAAACAGGACAAAGAGGCTTACACCTTGCTGCAAAATGCCACAATCAGAGTGACTGTGGACTGTGTACAACGATATGCTACCCCATTGCTGAGACGAACCCCTCTGAGCTTACTCCATGCAGATAAAACAGCGGTTCTTCCCAGTTTACGCCGTACTGAGCGCAGACTGGCACGGGATCCTGAGAGGGCTAAAGTTTACTGCAGTGAGATCTGTAAGTTGGAGTCAGCTGGTTATGTGGCTAAGATAACTGCAGAGGAAGCGGACCAAAGTGTAGAGTCCTGGTTCATTCCGCACCACATGGTGCAACACAATGGTAAAGACAGAATTGTCTTCAACTGCTCCTTCCAGCATCAAGGACAGTCTTTGAATGATCAGCTGCTACCAGGGCCAACTTTGGGACCATCCTTACTAGGTGTTCTCCTGAGATTCCGCCAGCACACTGTTGCTATCAGTGGGGACATCAAAGGTATGTTCCACCAAGTCCGCTTGCTGCCTGGGGACAAATCTGTACTGCGTTTCCTTTGGAGAGACATGTGCAGGGAAGCAGAACCTGAGATATATGAGTGGCAGGTGCTTCCGTTTGGCACTACATGCAGCCCCTGTTGTGCCATTCATGCCCTCCAACACCACGTCCAAGGGCATAAAGATGATATGGCTGACTTAGTTGATATTGTGGAACATTCATTCTATGTCAACAACTGCCTTCACAGTGTACCAACGACAAGTGAGGCTAAAGCGATAGTGGATGGGCTGCGCCAGCTCCTTTCCGAAGGGGGCTTCGAGATTAGACAGTGGGCATGCAATGTGCCATCGGTAACCCAACACCTACCTCCAGAGGCCAGGTCCACAAATAGCGAACGCTGGTTAGCACAAAGCAGTACGGACCTTCAGGAACTCACTCTTGGTCTGCGGTGGGATTGCATCAATGACACCCTAGGGTACAACTTGCGTTCTGTGGAGACTATTGAGCCTACCATGAGGAACATATATAAAACTTTGGCGAGTCAGTATGAGGTTTATTATCCCGTTCACGACCAGGGCCAAGGTTATTATCCAAGACCTCTGGAAGCACAACCTTGGTTGGGACGACCCCATAGAGCTGTTACATTTGAGAGAAAGTTGGCTCACCTGGGTAGGAGAACTTCCAACACTTACCAAGCTGCAGTTCCCTCGAGCATACACCCCAGCCTCTGCGGACAACCCATCGGCCATTCGAGAGCTTCATGTCTTTAGTGATGCGTCGGAAAGGGCCTACGGTTCTGTGGCATACCTACGCACCACAGATGATCAAGGACAGGTTATTCTTACCTTTGTCTTGGCCAGGTCTAGAGTAGCACCTCGTAAATGCCTGTCTATACCTCGTTTGGAGCTGTGTGCCGCCCTTACTGGCGCCCAGTTGGGCAAGGTGATCCAAACTGAGTTGACCATACCTGTCCACAAAGTCACCTTCTGGTCTGACTCTACCACTGTGTTGTACTGGTTGACATCTGAATCCTGCCGCTACAAAGTGTTTGTAGGGACACGTGTGGCAGAGATACAGACTTTGACAGAGATGTCTGAATGGAGGTGTGTGGAGTCAAGTCACAACCCTGCCGACCACATTACACGAGGTCTTAGACTGACCGAGTTAGCAGGCCATCATCAGTGGAGCTCAGGTCCAGCCTTCCTGATTCAGTCACCTGACCAATGGCCATCAATGCCCAAAACTGAAGGAGAGCCTGACTGCAATGAACTGTTGAAATCAGTCTTTATTGCAACTGTTTCAGTACCTAGTAGTTCTCTTCCTGATCCAAGCCAATTCCACACATGGCAAGAGCTCGTCCTGGCCACTGTTAAATCCCTGCATGGGGTGGCTACCACCGACACTGACTCTCCTACGGAGGCTTCTGAATATATTGAAGCGGAAAAGCTACTTCTGGCACAGGCTCAAATGGAATCCTTTCCTATTGCGGTTAGACATTTAAAGGCCGGACATCCTGTTCCACAAAACAGTCGCTTAGGCTCACTTGCCCCTGAATATGATAATGCCACTGGTCTCATTAGAGTGGGCGGACAGCTACGGCGTGCTAGTGACCTCGAACTAGAGGCCATACACCCAATTGTATTAGACCCTAGCCATCATAACACTAAGCTGTTGATTAAGGAGACAGATCAGCGACTCCTTCACCCTAGCTCAGAAAGGGTTCTAGCAGAACTGCGCCACCAGTATTGGATACTTCGAGGCAGAGAAGCAGTTCGTAAACACCAGCACACCTGTCGAGACTGTCAGTTCTGGTGCGCTAAGCCACAAACCCCACGGCTGGCAGATCTACCACCTGCAGGTTAAATCTGTATAAGCCACCTTTCTATTCTACTGGCGTAGACTGCTTTGGCCCATTCACAGTCAAAATTGGGCGCCGCCAAGAGAAAAGGTGGGGAATTATTTACAAATGCCTAACGACACGTTGTGTGCATCTGGATCTATTGGAGCATATGGACAGTGACGCTTTCCTGCTCTCCCTGCGCCGTTTTATAGCCCGATGTGGCAAGCCTATGGAGCTGTTGTGCGACAATGGCACCAACTTCGTTGGAGGTGATCGGGAGTTACGGGAATCCTTTGAAGCCATGTCACCAAAGCTACGGGAACAGCTGGCAGAGCAGAAAATTCGGTTTCGCCATAACCCCCCAAATGCTCCTCACTTTGGGGGAACCTGGGAGCCTTCGAGGCAGAGAAGCAGTTCGTAAACACCAGCACACCTGTCGAGACTGTCAGTTCTGGCGCGCCAAGCCACAAACCCCACGGCTGGCAGATCTACCCCCCTGCAGGTTAAATCTGTATAAGCCACCTTTCTATTCTACTGGCGTAGACTGCTTTGGCCCATTCACAGTCAAAATTGGGCGCCGCCAAGAGAAAAGGTGGGGAATTATTTACAAATGCCTAACGACACGTTGTGTGCATCTGGATCTATTGGAGCATATGGACAGTGACGCTTTCCTGCTCTCCCTGCGCCGTTTTATAGCCCGATGTGGCAAGCCTATGGAGCTGTTGTGCGACAATGGCACCAACTTCGTTGGAGGTGATCGGGAGTTACGGGAATCCTTTGAAGCCATGTCACCAAAGCTACGGGAACAGCTGGCAGAGCAGAAAATTCGGTTTTGCCATAACCCCCCAAATGCTCCTCACTTTGGGGGAACCTGGGAGCACGAGATAAAATCAGTTAAGGCAGCACTCCGTGTGATCCTCCGAGAGCAGTCAGTGCCGGAACCAGTACTGCAGACCCTTCTGGTAGAAGTTGAAAGCATCCTGAACTCCAAGCCACTCGGCTACGTATCCTCGGATATTTGCGGATGTGGATCCTGTGACCCCAAACCTACTTCTTATAGGTCGTCAAGATGCCTTGCTACCTCAGGTCTTGTATGACTCCAACAACCTGCTTGGAAGACGAAGATGGAGACATAGCCAGGTGCTGGCTGATTGTTTCTGGGCTGCCTTTATTCGCCAATACCTCCCATACATGCAGGGACGTCACAAGTGGACAACCGAGGGCAGGGAACTGACAGTAGGGCAAGTCATACTTGTTGTAGATCCACAACTTCCACGCTCACTCTGGCCTTTAGGAACCGTAAGAGAGACCATACCTGGAGCTGACGGTAGAATTCGTATCATCAGAGTCAAGGTTAAAGACAAAACTTACACTTGTCCAGTTGTGCGATTGATCCCTCTTCCTCATCTTGAGGATAATGACACGAGCACCCCCGATAGACTTTCTTAGAGTGTTCAATTATCTTGCCAGATAATTGGGGACAGCTGTGTCAGAAAGCCTATTTTAGGAACTAGGAACTAAAGTTCATTTAATGTTTCCTAGAGGGACGATTATTAGTGTTACCTGCCAGTGAAGACCGCTGTCTGGCTTTGTTTATGTTGCTGCTATGTTTTCTGTAATGTGTTCATATAATACAAACCACATCTCATTTCATACCAGAGGCATATGCAGATGCATATATTGGAGCAAATAAATGCCTCAATCTAAAGACTTCTCCTGCTCTCCTGATTCTCTGACCGGAATCTGGTCCATATTTGGCCGCCTCAACCAGTTGTAATTTAAATGTAGTAAGGTTTGCTACACTATTTCTAAAACGAAAACTGTTTGTCCAACAGGTCTCTTTGTCAACCAACTGCTCTTCGTCTTGAGGAAAAAGACCTTATCAGCAAGTATGAGATTATTTTATTTTCTAACTATAGTAACAGTAAGATCATGGAACTAGAGGTGACATGCAAAAATGAATTCTCCCTTGCTGTTTTCTCTTGTTTGCTTTCATTAACTCCTCCCTCAATCTCTCTCTCTCTCTCTTTAGGGATGTTGGATGTTTTAATAATTGGAGGAGGTCCTCATGCTCTAACCCTCGCTACTCTGTTCTCAAACCCTGAACAACCTCTCTGCCAATCCAGCGCTGACATCCTTCAAGGAATTCAGCTGAGCAAAACTAAAGCTAAACGTGTACATTACAAAAACAAAAAGAGACAACCCACCAGTGAGTCAAGAAGTGTGGGAAGTCGTGGCCTAATGGTTAGAGAGTCGGACTCGTAACCCAAAGGTTGCGGGTTCAAGTCTTGTACCGGCAGGGATTGTGGGTGGGGGGAGTGAATGTACAGTGCTCTCTCCACCTCCACCTGAGCAAGTTGTGGTATTGAGCAAGGCACCGAACCCCCAACTGCTCCCCGGGCGCCGCAGCAAAAATGGCTGCCCACTGCTCCGGGTGTGTGTTCACTGTGTGTGTGTGCGTTCACTGCTGTGTGTGTGCACTTTGGATGGGATAAATGCAGAGCACTAATTCCGAGTATGGGTCACCATACTTGGCCTCACGTCACTGTCAAGCCGTTTTTGAAAAGTTGCTTTAACAACTCTTCTGGTATGTTGAATGATTGAAATTGAGTTAACATTATCAAATATCTCATTTTGGAATGCTAAGTGCAATGTGTTTTAATGCTAAACTAACTATAAATGTTGAATAACAAATACAATATGAAATAATAATAAATTATGGATTAGATTGCTAAGGACTTCAATCTAGGTATGCAAATATGACCTAAGCAGTGTCTTGCTCTGATTCAGCTGCGTCACACGGATATGCACCGTGTGGTGCGGCTGACACAGAACAACATACACTGTTTGCATTCAGTGGATACTCTCCAAAATGGCGCTAGGGTGACGCGGAGGAGACGAATTGTTGAATAAAGTCGTTTTTTTTTTTTTCTTTTCTTTTGCACACAAAAAGGCTTCTCGTAGCTTCGTAATATTACGGTTGAACCCCTTATGTCATATGGATTATTTTACCGATCTCCTTGCTACGATTCTGGATGTTGATCGTGGTAGTACCCTTTCTGTCTATGGGAGGGTCAGAGAGCTGTCAGAATGCATCAAAAATATCTTAATTTGTGTTCCGAAGATGAACGGAGGTCTTACGGGTTTGGAACGACATGAGAGTGAGTAATTAATGACAGAATTTTCATTTTTGGATGAACTATCCCTTTAACCCTTATTGATGTTGAGTATCATATTTGATACATCAGGCTTTTGTGGTTCATAAATCCTTATTTTCATAATCAAACCTCTGTAGTTTTCATTTAATGCAATGCATTACAAGATATACAAAATAAATGTTCTTCAAAATCCTGATGTATCATATTTGATTCTCACTTTTTAAGATTTTCTTTAAAAAATCATGTATGGGTAATCGATATGATACAGTAGGTTTTTATAGGGTTAAAATGCAATGGTTTTCTGGAAAAAACAATAAAAATATTGATGACTCATCCTGCACTACATACATTTTCGTCCAATCAGATGCGCTCTAGAATGATAATGCCCCTCCCCAAAACCATGTGCAACCAACTATTTTAGTAGCAAATCCTGGTTTGTTGCTGCGATGTAACCAAAGCCTACTGGGTTTTCTTGCTCAGTTTCTTTCTTTTCTTTTCAAGGAGTTCTTCAATATGTCATGTCCAAATACAGAAAAAAGGCAATTTTAACAAAGCTGGCGAGAATATAAAGATTGTCCAGTAAAACACTCCCATCGTTTTTGGCAGTTTAAGTACTCAAATACTGTTCACTTAGTGTGAGAGGACTTATGGTCATTAAAAACACTTTCTTCAAAATGACAGAACTGTTTTGGCCAGAACTGGTACTGAGAGTATTTTCTGAAACTTGATTAAAGAAAATCTGACCAACTCACTTAGCCTCTGAGTTTGTCTCCTTGATTTTTTATTTACAACATCTGATGTACTCATTTGTTTACTCACAGTTTGGCAACGTGTCTGGCATAAACTGTTCCCATGGAAAGTGGGTCTGTGCGGCTGTGGAAATCATTAGGCTTGTTTCCTTAAAGAGTTTGATGTCAACTAATGCCATCCGCACAAGATATACTCTCATCTCATTCACTATAGAGCATGAGTCTTACTATGTGTCACCTTCCTTCATTAATCGATTTTTCAGAGATTTGCTGAAAACTGACTCATCACAAGAGCACTCCAAAGCCAAATTCTGGCTAAACATTTATTTCTTCTAGAGTGGTAATTTGTTCTGCAGGCATACCGTATACAACACAGACAAACAATATACAATGGACTTTAGTCAGGATAGATGCAAATTAAAACAAGGCTGTGAGGGATAAATGTCCAGTCTGCTCATCGAGTTTAGGCTCTCTTTAGGTTCTAGGGGTTTAATTCTTCATATTATGAGCATTATTAGCAGAATTGGATGCATATGTTGCCTGAGACATGCAGGTGTGTTTGTTCACGATCACAGGCTGCCTGTGGCCACAGGTCAAGCAAGCCTCCAATGGGTCAGATGATGACCTCTTACCCTGCCTCCCGTGTCCTGTTGAGAGCAGCGTTGTCTGTGGGACATGACATGCAATCCATCCACGCTGTACGTCGGACCTCCTCAGCTGAAAATATAGATTCATTTTTGCTTTTTCAGTGGTCAAATGGGAAACCGCTGCAGGCAGACTTTGTTAATTGGAAACATGTTTATGTAATATATGCAAATCTGGATCATGACACAGCATAACATATTAGCATCAAGCCTCTTGGCCTGGAAGAACT